TTGCAGTGAGCAGTACTTCATGATAAGGTGTTATAAGATATGTGCAGATAATCTCAGTAGTTTGGCCATTCACAAAAGTTAAAAGTAACACGCTTAAGTAACTATTTCGTTTCCAAACATGTTTTGGATATATTACCTTTTTTTCTTACTTTTAAGCAAAAAAAGTAAGAAGTAACTCTTACCTTACTATCAAAATAAGTAACTTATTCGCTACTTTTACCAATTAAAATTATACTCATTACTAATAAGTAAATCTAATAACTTTCCTAAAGTAGGCAAACGTGCTCTATATCTAACAACTATTATATAGATCTGCTGAAATGGGGAAGAGAGATGGTAAAAAAATATTCTTGTATTTGAGTACGTTTTGTGTTTCAAATTATCCTTCAGAAGAAACAATTGGATGCCTAACTCGTAAAGATTAGAACGAGTAAAAACCAAAGAATCAATTTCAGAAATGACAGGCATATAGTGACAATCTCACGTGCCAAGCAAGTGCAACAATTAGGGTGTGTTTGATTTTTATTTTTCTTAGAAAATATCATTTTTCCACCCAAGTTCCTATTTTGGAATGTTTGATTGACATTTTTTCCATAAAAAATATTTTTCAAAAGTTGGAAACCTAACCATGTTTTCCTCAAAAATAAGGAAAATATTTCTTTATAGGGAGCAGGTTTTTATTTTCTAGGCAATTCACATTTCCCAAGAACTCAACTTTATGAAAAAGTTTTGAGGTTGAAAATTAAGTCAATCAAACACATTTATTTGTCAATTTCCATACAAATAAGTTCAATTACCTAGGACTTATTTTCTTTCCCTGCTTGTAATCAAACACACCCGTAGTGTTCAATATGGTAAAGAGGCCAATGGAAAATGAAATTGAAATACAGAAACCCCATAGCCCCCAGGTAAAAACCATGTCATTATTTCACCCACAAGAAGATGATGACTCGTTGAATTAACATGACTTGATTATATAAATGGCTTCATTTAGATCTCTCTGTCGATAATTATTAGCTATAATGTTTTAAACTTTTATGAAGGTAGATAAATCTTAAGCGTGTCAAAATTATCATTGACAGTAAACGAATTTGATACTTCTCAAGCCATGCTAAAAATATCAAACTCAACTAACATTCTTACTCAACTTGATGCTAAAGAAAGTATCATCAGGAGAACAGAAATTATTAAATAGATGCAGCAGCGTGATTACTTTTGTGTCTGCGTGTCTGGAAGCAACATGAGAGTTATGTAACTTCTGATCTTGGGAGGAACAATTATGACAAAAGAAGTGCTCGAGTCGCTTGGCTTCCTCTGCAGTCATGTCTATACAATTTGGATGAAACCTGAAACAAGTGAAAAATTGTATATTTCGATGCTGTGTTTGAAAGTTAATCCTTGATTGATTAATAAATAATACGAATATCATTATAAAATAATGCCAATGTCAATAATTATATATCGAGGAGTAATAAATACCACCAGATGGAGAGTGATTTCCGTCATTCTCTTACATATATTCAATGCATTTTCTAATTAGATGATAATCCAAACGATATAAAAACTTTCTTAAGCTTTCTATCAAAAATAAGAGTAAAGATTAAACACCAAATGAGAGAAGTTTAAACCTATAGCATCTAGCAATCCATTAGACCTTAAGTGATTGTCACATATAAATCTTTATAGCTTCCATTTAATATATAGTCATCTACTGATGCAAGTCTGGTGGCATCTTTTTTTCCCTAACTCACTGAACACCTTCATTGAGGACCTTGAAATAGAGGTTAACAGCTGAATTTCTTTAAAATACTATGTTGTAGGAGATTAATAAATGTCACTCGCACCAAATAGTTCACAAAATACATAACAGCAAGATCATTCTTCATAATCTTTGTGGAGTCTAATTCTTGATTTATATCATGGGGCATTCGGAATAATAATTTCTGAAGGTGCATCCCTGTTCTATATCTCAATAGAAGAGTTTCTCAGTAAGCAAAAAATACCCAGCAGGATCACAGATTAAAAAGGCTACATCAAACATCATCTCAAAAGACACTTCAAATTTAGTTGTAACATAAGAGTTCTTTTCTGTGGAACCCGGTAACGGTGGGCAGGCCCAGTTCTGGCCCAAGGTCACCTAGGCAGTTGCCTTGTGCCTCAAGGTACAAGGGGGCCTCAAAAAATTTTTGACAGCCCAAAACAATTATCCCTTATTAAATGTGCAAATTACACCTGGTACTAATATAAATTTTAATTTCAATTTTACTAGCCACCTTTTTTTATTCTGAAAGTACATTCAAGGGAAAAATGAATAATTTTTAATAAATAAAAATAACATAAATTAACTTGATTGTTGGAACATTTGAGGATTAATTAACAGGTAGTTTAAGGAATTAGGAATTTCAAGAAGACTAATTAATTACAGTAAGATATTTTTTGTGTTGTTTTATTTAATATGTATTATATATGATATATAAAAAATTTTGTAGTATATCATAAAATATTTTATTTTAATGGGTAAATATGATTTTTCTTCTTGAACATGAAAATTGATTGTCGAACAAATCAAATGGTGAGCGAGTACCATAGATCTAATATTTCCCATCATGAAAAATTGTTCAATTCGACCACGTTTGATGATAATACACTAGTACAAAAATTATGTGTAGGGGTCTCATGATAATTTTTCATCTAGGACCTTAAAATTTTCAAGGCCGGCCTTGACAGTGGGCCACACTATTAGAGAGTACATTTTCCTCGAAGGCTCAGTGTGGCCAAGCTAGATAAACATGTAACATCACTTTGCAGAGAAAGTTTCATCCTCGCTTTTTGAGAACTGAAAGGGAAAGGTTATCATTTAACTCATAATAAAATTATCTAGGATAATTGCCAAATAAATTGTAAAACTTTGTTAGCTTCTTCTTGCAAAGCATGGGAATATATCTGAACAAATTTTGTGAAATAGAGTGAGAAGTGCCTGAAGGACTGTATACATGCACGACTGCATAAGTCACAACTGACTAGGAGACGAGAAGAGAGAACCAACAGAAGTAGCCAGCAATAATCAGCAGAAATCTTTAACAGTGCTAGAGTAAAACAGTGAAGTAATAAACTACTAATGAAATCACCAATAGCAGACTTCAATCAGCTCTGGTAAGCCAAAGCAATGTAGTGATTATTAAAAACGCAAAAAGAATATAGGGGCCAAATTTAACTTCATATGAAGATAGTAAACAACATCAACTTTTCTCTTTTCATTAAGATTATATAAAAACTTTAAATGGTGTCTTTGGTCTAGTGGTGAGGATCAGATCCAACCAACTACAGCTATTCGATGATTCAAATAAATAGTTGAATAGCTGTTGCACTTATAAGAAGCTAAACAGTAATTTAGATACATACCCAGAACTATATTTAAACATATCAATAAATAATAGAATGATGGTCATGTCCACTGAAGTAAGGACCTAAATCCTCTCCCTGGAAAAAGAAAAGGAAGAGAGAAAAAGTGAACACCCACCAACTTTCTGGGGTGCTGGGTATGCCTACATCACAGATGCACTACACATAACTTTCTCCTACCTTGAGTCGTGCAATATTATTTTGATTCATTTTGAGTGGATGATGGGAATCTTATAGAAATATTATTTAGTTTAGTTTCCAACTTTGATGCTTATTTTAGGAAACGTAATTAGAGTTTGATTTCATAGATTTTATAGTATTTTACTACTTCAATGTTTAAATCCTATATAAAGAGGGCTTTTGCATTGTAATAGATACAACTTTGACAATGAAATAAATTGATAATTTCTCCTCAAATTTCTTTCCATCTCTCTAATTCATCTCTCTTTTCTATCTCTCCCTCTTCTTCTCTTCCCCCCTCCTTTATGTTCTTCTCTCCCCTTTCCCTTTCTCCTATAATTGTTTGATTGCATCTTATGTCAGTGGAAGTAATAGAATGCAATCTAACATAAAACAAATGATAAAGCAGTATACATGAGACATGATCTACTAAGCATCGGTGACATGGTACATCCATTAATTGGTGAATAAGTTATGGTAGGTCCCAAATATTAAATGATCTACCAATTATTAATTGACATGTCATGCCACCGGTGCTTAGCATAAATTATGCACCAGTGATTAGATACATATACAATCTGAATTTGACATAATCATTAGCCTCCATAAAACTATGAGTTTTCCAAATATGACCTGCCATAGATTGCAGAAGACCTCAGCATACCGTCTTATAAATTGTAGAAGCTAGGAGAATCAGTGGCACAACAAAGACAAAAGTGTTTCACAAAGAAATACTGCTGTTTTCAAACTTACTAGAGTAACTTCATAAACATAAACACATAATTCCCTTACCAGCCCAAAACACAGTATAATCATGTATAAGCTAAAAAACCAGAACATGAACCCTACAAGATCAAAGCAAATAAACAGTGTCCTATTCATTGAGCTCCAGTAAGTACAACTTCTAAACATAGTGACAACAATAGCAGAATAAAGTGCATCACGAGATGAAACCATGTAAAATAATAAACTGAAACAACGATAAAGGGTCATTGGACTCACCAATCACTGCATCCTTCACACTGAACCATTAGATCATCAGGATTGTAAGGCATCTCACATTTACAATACCTGCCAAATCAAGATGGACAGGGATATTTTAAAAACTTGGAAAACCAACAATACTTCCAAAATTTGCAGCCTACATTTTAGTAAACAAACAAATAAATACATCACGTTCTCCAGACCATAAATGTACAACTGCACAATTCTATTTCAACAGTTGAATGTGAAGTCATTAAAGTCATCATCCAAGCAAAAATTGCATTTTTTATTTAGCTGTTCCTACTCTGTTTTGTATAACCTAAGCTCAGAATGCGAAATATTACTGCAATCAAATCCCAACTTAATAGAGGTGAAACTCAGAAATTGGTCACTGTAGTTCGCTAATAGCCAATGAAATCTGCCTGATCCAAAATAAGCTGACACACACACACACACACACAAAGAAATATTATCGCACGAGTTAAATCAGAATAAAATCAGACTATATATTTACTATAAGAAAATGATTGAGCTAATGGTATCAACTTAAGGTGCTAAATAGGAAAATAGTTAACTAGAGAAAGCTTGCCCAGATATCAAAAACACAAATCAACAGGTAATGCATTGTCTATTTACTCGACAAAGAAATAACTTTAACTAGCTGTTTTTACTTCAATGAAGCATAGCAGCATCATTAGCAACCCAGTTGTCACATAACATCTTTTATTTTTCAGGGTAAATTATCACACAATAAACAGCCTAGACAGGACAACAACAAAAATAAGAACCTAGAAAGCAAATTCTAATCATTTTTCAAAATACACCAAGCCAGAAATTACATCATTTAGCCAGTAAAAACAAAGAAAATATCACTGACTAAAATTGCTAGCCCAGATATCAAAACTTTTTTCTCTTACGTAAATTGATGATACAAATTAGAAACCAATTAAGTGTTTCAACTCCGATGCATCTGAAACTCCACTAAATTCAATAATTTAGTCACCAAACTGATCAAATTTAATCACCACAGATCATAATAGATCATATAACCGCAACTCGTACACGGGGACTCTATCGGGATTGAAGGCACCAGTAGATGAATTGTACTCAAAGCGACAAAAGAAATCATCGTTTCCAACTGCATCGAGCTTAGTGTAGGTCTTAAAGCTGTGGACCGTACACTTGCCCTCAATTGTGTCTCCACTCTGAATATCAAAATGATCAGACAAAAACACCTCCTTGGAGCCGTGAAACTGGCGGCGGCCGCCGATCGACTCCTCTGGCCGGTAGTACCACCGTACGTGCACCCTCACGTTCGCTCCGCGACTGTCCGACTCGATCTTCTCCAATCGAGCCACGTACGACGGCTTCGACGGATCGGTCGGTCGCATCAATACGCAATCTCCGGCTACAGAAAATTCAGCAAAGTCGTACAAATCAAAAGATTTACAGTAATTAGTCCGTCTCATGTGATTAGAATTTATCTACAGAACTTCAAATTAAACTGGAAAAATAATTGAAAATAATGAATTAAACTTACGTCGGACAGTCTTGTTAATGTGTTTAACGGTGTAGGAATCTAGGGTACGGCGGGCGGCCCTGGCTTTAGCCATGGACAGTCACAAGAAGTAAAAGGAGCTTAGGAGAGAGAGTACTGAAACAAGATAATTGCAGAGATAGAGAGAGAACTGATTGTAACTTTGAATTATGTTATTTTATGTGAAAAATTTAAGCAATAAGCGCTCATTCTATTACCAAAAAAGCGACTTTGCCCTTGTTTGGTATGGATAATTTAAGTCAATGTCAATAATTAATTTTAACCACATATTTTATGATAGATACAAATTTTAAACTATATATTTTATTAATTTTTATCAAAATTTATTAAAAATCGAATTTTAATTCTACTATTTTTTGGTGGCCATTAAAATGAAAATTTGTATTTTATAACAGTGGACCTGTAATTTAAAAGTCACTATTATTTGTTCAAATGCCAGATCATTTACAATGGGTACGCAAGCCGTTGAAAATGATATGGACTTTAATACCCCAATTTGTCATCCACTATTTATCAAAATACCCTCTTTATTATTAACCCTACACTTTCCACGTGTCCTTTACCATTTAGAGGGTAGTTTGGGAAGATGGAAAATTATTCTGCCATCACACCTTCACAAGTCAAAGTTCTTTTCTTGAAAAATTACACAATTCAACATTGATTGACAGAGGGTCCTACTGTTTTATGATTTTTTTTTTATTATTTTTTTTTTTTTGGAGAAATCTCATTAGCGGTCCGAAAATATCTAAAAATGAGGTAAAAATGGGCTCCAAACAAGCACTAGTTTATAATCTCTAAAATAGAAGATGGAGGGGAAAATAAGAGTTGATAGGTTTGAGACAATAGAAGTAAAGGTCATTTCCATACCTGATACAAGATAGCATTAATAATTATCCTCGATGGTTAATAAGGTGAGAATTACTTGATATGCACTCCACGTAGAGCACTACATGATAGACCATCTATCCCTACAAGCTGTCTACCACCACGAGGCCCTCTACGTTCACATAGGTCGTTTGTCACCATGAGGTCGTCGACCATTATGAGACCGCCTACTACCATGAGACCATCTACGTTCACATAAACTGTCTATCGCATGAGGTCTTCTATGTTCACATAGGTCGTCGACCCCGACGAGGCCGCTACCACCATGTGGCCTTTTACGTTTACATAGGTTATCTACCACTATAAGGCCGCCTGCCACTATGAGGCCTTCTATGTTCACATAAGATGTCTACCTCTATGAGACATTCTACGTTCACATAGGTCGTCAATCCCCATGAGGTCGCCTACCATCATGAGGTCGTCGACCTCCATGAGGCCCTCTACATTCACATTTACCGTCTACCACTATGAGGTCGCCTGACACGATGAGGTCGTCGACCCTCCATTAGGCCGCCTACCACCATGTGGCCCTCTATGTTCACATTTGTCATCTACTACTATGAAGTTGCCAACCATCATAAGGCTGCCAACCACCATGAGGTCGTCGACCCCTATGAGTCCGCCAACCACTATGAGGCCCTCTACGTTTACATAGGTCATTTACCACTATGAGACCAACGCTATGCTTAACCATACAAATGGCAATGAGCTGGATGAGAACCTCTCAATGGCAAACTTAGGCACAACCTACCGCTTGAGAAGTGGGGGTCATCCCATCAGAACTTGGGAGAAGTGGGAAGATTTACGTGGAATACGTGGCACCATTAACTGCTGAACGAGTATGTTGCATCAGGTGCCTATAAATACCCATAAGGTGAGAAATGTATGGCTCTTTTGATACCGATATTGCTTAAATTCCAATTATACTCCCTTCTACTTTCTTAAACCGACTACTAATTCTCACGTTGGAGCTACAACGGGGGAGAAAGCTCCAACCTCATTTTACAGGCAGCATTCACTAATCGGAGTAGCCAGAACACCCTACTCGTCAAGGAGAACACAGAAGTCTATTTCGCTACAATTTCATTGGCGCCGTCTGTGAAAAATCACTGAATAAAAAAGCTATGTCAAGAAACGGACTATGAGTAAAACGCGTATGGTCGGAATCTGTCGTAAGGGATCACGACCCGCCATCGCAGTACGTGGCACAGAGCCAATTCGACGTCCGGAAACTCAAGGCAGCCATGATAGCCCTCTTGCAGAGTCAAACGCAAAAAGCCACAGCCCTACCATAGAACCCGTCGGAGGCCGTACGCGGGCAACCGCCCCAAGTGGCATAGACGGCTATCCCGCCTTTTACTCAGCCAACAATAGAGGACTTAGGGACTGCAGTGGTTACATTTTCACAAATTCCCCAACCCATAATGGACTTGCAAAGAAAGATGGAGGAGATGATAGCCCAGAAAATAGATGATGTATTAACCAAGAGGAAGGATAGGCGAAGGCAAACGGTTTTGGAAAAAGATCATTTTGCACCTGAAATCATTGTAGTTCCTTTACCGAAAGGCTTTAAATAGCCGATGATAGAAGCATACGATGGAATCACATATTCGCTTGACCACTTGCTGACCTTCGTAGATTTAATGAGGCTTTTTGCAGCTTCAGACGCAGTGATGTGCCGGTCCTTTCACCCGACACCCAGGAGAGAAGCTAAAGACTGGATGGTCGCCTTAGTACTCAGGTCTATAAAGACTTTTGATGAGTTTTCCAGGAGTTTTGTGGCATACTTTATGAGTAGCAAAAGGAAGCGGAAGGCGGTCATTGGATTGATGCAGGTTGTGCAAGTGACACTTGGTATAAAAGACCTTCAAATGTCTATAGTGGTAACAGCGTTAATGAATGGGACTCGGAACCGAGATATTAAGATGTCACTCTCCAAAAAACCCCCAAAATCGATGCATGACCTATTGAAAAAGGGTGACAAGTACATTGATGAAGAAGAAGCATAAAAGGTTACTAAAAATCTCAGAGATGGATGAGAGACAAAAAGTCACAAGCAAAAGATAGGTGGGGAGCGAAAACTCGTTGATAAAGACAAGTCGAGGAATGAGCGCATAAACAGGGGGTACACTCAGGATTGATCGGTTAGGAAGAGGCGAGAGGAGGTCAAAGCCTTCACCACTTTAAATACTCCACAAGCCTAGATATTGATGGAAGTTCGAGACATGAAAGAGCTCGACTGGCCGAGACCGATGACGACGTCTGCCAGTAAGAAAGACTAGAGCAAGTACTGCCATTTCCATAAAGATCGTGGGCACGACACATAGGAATGCATCCATTTGAAGGAGGAGGTTGAGCGCCTCTTGAAGTGGGATTTTTTGACTAAGCACGCAAGGAATGATCGAGGCAAGCAGAAACTTGATGACCAACCACCGCCCAGGGCAGATGTTATAAATGTGATTATTGGAGGGATCGTAGCGGGGAACTTGAAGTTGGCTAGAAAGAGCTATGCACGCACATTCGAGGTCTACTCTATTCAGAAAAAAGGCTGGTTCAATCAAAGCATCACTTTTGGTGAGAAAGATTTAATAGGCATGGTAACCCACCATGATGATGCCTTGGCGATAGTCGACAATATAGCGGACTACGATGTCAAGAGGGTGTTGGTTGATGGCGGTAGAGCAGCGAACGTTTTCACTTGGGAAGTATTTGTGGGATTGAAAATTTCGTTGGAAATGGTGAAAGCAGTATCCACCCCCTCCAAGGATTCGAAGGGGCTACTGTGATACCGGAGGGAGTTGTGGAGTTACAAGTGACATTGGGTACTTACCCTGCAAGTGTGGTGATCTTGACGAACTTTTTGGTTGTCAAGACCCCCATGTCATATAATGCAATCTACGGTTGATCCCTGCTGAATGCTGCTGAGGCTATTCTCTCCACTTACCACTAAGTGATGAAATTCTCAACCAGTCGTGGTGTGGGGTATGTGAGGGTGATCAACAGTTTTTGAAGAAGTGTTATGTTGACAGTATATGGACGAATAGATCTGCACCAGTTATGATATTGGACCTTGAGCCTCCAAGGTGGTGAATTGAGCCCCTTGATACTACGGGAAAGAAAATTTGGTGGTAGGAGGGCGTGAATTTAGTGAGGGACCGAATTGGAAAGGACCGTATAAGGTGATCCGAAGCCTTGGAAATGGAGCCTATAGCCGAAAGGACTTGAAAGGAAAAACTACTAGGCAGGCCGTGGAACACGAGCATCTTAAGAAGTATTATCAGTAGACCAATGTGCAAGTCCCATGATGTTTTCTTGTAAATGTAGTCGCTATGGGGTTTCATTTTCTTTTCTAATGTAATGATCCTTGAAGATATAGTAGCTAGGATGTTCGACTAGTATTCGTGATGTAAAGCCGCAACAGACACACTTTATTGAAATTATTTAATGAGAAGCCTGGATGACGATAGATGATGAGGGCCTAAAGAAGTGCCAGCCTAGCTGGGACGTCCCGGTGAGATTACTAAGTCCCCAAATCTTGGCAAGTTAAATATTATTACGAGATCTTGATTTGTGATTGGTTGAAGCGAAGACTACAAATCTCTCCTACTGCCTCGAAGATCGCTCAACACATAGCAGTGAGCAACAAAGCCAATAAATTGGTTAGCTTAAAATCCCTCTAAGGGCTAGTGATTATCACCATACCCTATACTCTACTGCCTCGAAGATCGTTCAACACATAGCGGTGAGCAACAAAGCCAAGAAATTGGTTAGCTCAAAATTGCTCTAAGAGCTGGTGATTATCACCTGACCCTATATCCTACTGCCTCAAAGATCGCTCAACACATAGCGGTGAGCAACAAAGCTAAAAAATTGGTTAGCTCAAAATCGCTCTAAGGGCTAGGTGTGAGTTTTCAAAATCAAAAATGGTTAAAACTCAAAATCACCGAATCCTGCATTCAACAACCCAAGATCGTTTGACATACATCGGTAAGCAACAAAGATAAAAAATGATTAGTTAGCTCGAAACCACTCTAGAGTCCGAAAAAGTACATCAAAAACCAAAACTTGATTATGGCCAGAAATCATGCTCTGCATTCGACATAACCCAAGGGGTTAGGCAAAATGCAACGAAACCGATAGATTTGTAATAAGCACGACTAAGTTCTACGG